CTAAAAATGATTTTTAACAGAATTGAGGTGGAGCACAGTTAAAGACACCTGATGTTGACTTCTGACCTCCAGATGCAGGACCTGGCATATATGTGTGTATGTGCACATACACACATGTACACATTCATAAACAAAATGCATTGATACTTATTAATGGCAGATTAATAGTTTGCATGTTTTTTTCTTTGTGTCTTTTTGTTTCCTTCCAGTGCTGGGGATTGAATCCCGGGCTTCCTACAGGCGCTACAGGTGCTTTACCAGTGAGCTACATCTCCAGACCTTGATTTTCTCAGACAGAGAAAACTGTGTCACTGAACCTGGTCTTGAACTCATGATCTTGCTGCCTCTGCCTCCTTGGTACTGGGTTAGATGGCATGCATGCCCAGTGTACTTCATCTTTCTGCTGCTGATAATCTCAGTGATGGGCATCTAGAGGGTTTGGTTCATGTACAACTTGCCTATTAGGATAAATTGCAACTATTCTTTCCTCACCCATGCTGCTTCATCACTCTCCCCTTCCCCAGTGTTTTCAACTGAAGTACAAGTAAAAGACTCCCTTCACTGAAGGATCAACCAGCTCCTCAAAGGGTTTGTAGTGTAGGAAGAATAAAAGGGCATTTCTGGTTACCAGGAATTTACCGAGACTAAACCAATGCACCTCTAGAGTTGAACCTTAGAGAGGAAGAGCAACTTGTCTAGACTTCTTTCCATTGTACTCTTCTTCCCTTCCCTTCCCAAATCCTAAGAGGTATATTGTTTTAAGAACTAACAGCATAATGTAAAAACAAGTCTCACCACTCAATGAGTTTACATTCTGGTGATAGGAATTAATAAAGTACATGTGATTATGGCTAGTTAGTGAAGACCATGACAATGGAAGGGGGGGATAAAGACTGATGGAGGATGGTAGAAAGGTACTAGAGTAGATAGGTTCATCAGGGAAAGCCTCTGAGTGCCTGACATTTGAGAGAATGAGAGGAGGGAGTTCAGGAAGAGACTGTACCTCAATACGAATGGTAGGGAGCAACCTAGGAAGACCCTGTCCTCAACCTTGGGAATATGCACACATCCATACACACACCACACATGTCATTTAAAAAAACAAGACCCTAACTGTTCTCTAAGGTATATCATGAAGAGGAACACATACATCAATGGCTGGCACAGCATGCTAATCCTAAGGGTATACAATAGTGGCACAGATACCTTGGCAGTAACCAGTAGCTTTCTAACTAAAATTAAGGCTTACCCAAAAGTGGGAGACCATGCCTGATATTGAAAACCTAGCTAACTACTTATTTCTACTGAAGTCATGGTTATTGGAAGAGAATCTACCACCACTAATTTACTAAACCTGCATAATTCCTAACAACAGTCTATAAACATTTGTCCTTATAAACACAGATAGTTATAATCTTTATCAAGGAAACTTCTCTTTGCAATGGAGACTATTAAAGAAAACCACAACCAATCAAAATGTGCGGCCCTGTTCCAGTGGATAATCTCCAAAACACTCCCACTCTAAAGGTCCAGGGAACATTTCAGAAAGATTATAGGAGCCAGGGATAAGGGAATTTGCTGTGAGATTATATTTCCTAGGAATATCAGAAGCTACACCCATACAGTCTTACAACATGATTATGCAGATGTGAGCTTGAAGGAGGACACCAATGAATTCCCAAACCAGACAGAGAAAAGAGCCCATGGGGCTTCAACCCTACAGAAGAACCAAAAGCAACAAAGGAAAACAGAACAAGAAAGGTTGCCTTCCCCAGGCAAAAGCACAACCAAGTGGTTGTCCAGTGGCAAATGGTTAGCCCCTAAAATATACATGCAGGTAGCATTATACCAACTGAACAGGCTATATCTAGGAATGTATATGTATATACATGTACTTGTATGTGTATAATAATAATAACTAGAAACTGAGTTTGAAGGAGAGCAGAGAGGGGTATATGGAAAGATTTGGAGACAGAGAGGGAAGGGAGAAATGTAATCAATTTGTAATCTCAAAAATAAAATAAGAGCCTTTTCTTTGTTCCCTTTCTCAAGGTTTTATCTGGTTTAGTACTTTCTGGTTAAGTTTTCATTTGTAGAATGATCTACAAATTCTGATATTGAGAATAATTATAATATTAGGAATAATTATTTAGCTCTCTCTTACAACATCTGAGACACAGTCCCTTAGAGCTATCCCATATTTCTGATTAGATCACTCTTGAGTGCCCACATCAGTGTTTTATATAAATCGTCTTAAGCTGAGCTGTGTTGTAAACTTCATTTAGTTTTTATTTTCCTTCTGGCATTTTATCTTCCTGGAAGATAATTGCTTTTTCTTTGAACTATTTTTTTTTAATTTACTTATCTCTAATTTATATCTCTGCCAGCATGTGTTTAATAGTTCCTTGTTTGTGAAGAAATCTCTCTTGGAACCTTTTGGCTAGCATCAGTCTGCACCAGTTGCCTGGCAGTCATATTTGGACTTTGTTGTCTGAGGGATTCCTCTGTCCTATTTTCTGTGTTAGATCTTCAGTTGCTTGATTCTTTGTCTCTTGTCTTACCAAGTGGGAGCTAGTAACTTCTTGATTAAAATGTAACAAAAAATAGATTTTATGAGACCTTACAGTTCTTGGGAGCTGTGGAAATTGAGGATCCCTAAAACCTCCTTTGTAGGATGCCCTCTAAGAAGTAGGGATGTCACCACACTTCTACTTAAACTTTCTAACAGGAATCCCTTCACCCCACCTTGATATTTATTGTTGTAATTTATTGATCTTAAAAGACTTCTCTTTGGTCAAAGAGAGATGGTAGAGTTCTTCCCCATCTCCACTTGCTGGGGTCCTGTGGGGCCAGCTGCCAAGAGGAGCCTTCCTCTGCTTTCTATTTCACTTATCTCTCTTTCTACAGTGGCCCCAGGTTGGGTTCCATTCCATCGGCAAGTGCCTCCAGAGGCATATCTATTTCATTTAATTGAAGTTGGAAGGGGATCGTGTCCTACTTTTTCCAGAGCCAGGGAGGGATATGGGCACATTGAACATACTTCTCTAGTTTGGATACATTCAGGTTGGAGCTGCAGCTATGCAGCAGCCTCCCAGTGTCATAGAAAAATCATTTATGTAGGACCAATCCACTCCATTCAGAAGCTTTAAGAATTTATGTACAGAGATGAGAAACTATTACTTTATGATCTTTTCATTAAAAGTTTGATTGAAAAATAAGATAAATAACATGAATTTAATTGTTGACTTTTTCTACCTAGTTGTAATTAGAAAATAGAATTTTTATGAAGCCATTCCTTTAGTATTTGTTATTCATCCTTTTGATTTTATTGTAGTTTGATTATGTTTTTAAATACAAAGTCTCACTGTGTAGTCAGGTTATCATCTGACTTTCCATTTAGTCCAGGGTGACCTTGAAATTTGAACCATCTTGCTTCAGTCTCCTACATATTTGGATTACAGGCATATGCCACCATTGCTTGCAATAGTTTTGTTTGTTATTTGTAATGTATGTGTCATTAAGCAACGTTTAGTCTTGCTTAATTTTGGGTTTTATGCTAACAGAATGATTATGTATCATTATGATTTATCATTATGCTACTTGCTCTTTGTATTCCAGCTGTGGACTGAGGTGTATCTATCCCAAATCCAATGTTGGAGCTCTAATCCCAATGGAATGGTATTAATTGGGAAAAAACTGAGTTTAGATGAAGGCATGGCAGTGGGGCCATCTTATGGGATTAGTGTCTCTACAGAGAGCTTCTTTTCTCTGTCTTTGCCTCATGAGGACCAGTGAGAAGGAGCTGATGCACAGGCTAGGAGAAGCACCTTCCACCAGACATGGCTGCTGGTATTCTGATCTTGGACTTCAGCATCCAGGACTGCCACAAAATAAACATGCTACTTAGGCTACCTGTCTGCATGTGTTGTCATGACAGGTTGATCAAGGCACTTTGGTTTCTCACATTATGATTTGAAAATTGAAAGGTGTAAGGGTAAGAGAATATCACAGTTTTTCCATTGTGTGAATGGAGGAAATGTGAATTAATTCAACTTTTTAAAGGGTCATTTTATAACTTTTTTATTGGACTTATTAAGAGTTTACATGTATACCATTGTTGATAGTTGTCTATTGACCTCAAAAAAACTGGTTTCAGAGGGGATAGAAGAGTATGAGGAGTCAAAAATGTTGATAAGTGGAACTTGTGACATGGCAGTGTCACTTACCCTTGCACTGATGGCTGAGAGTTTCTCTGCATCGAATTTTTGCTGAATCTTACACCTGTGCTATGGTGGCTCCTTAGAGTGTTGACATTGTTACTTTACCTGATTGTTGCTGAATTACTTTGAGGCTTAATATCTGTACATTTGTTTATGGACCATGATATTTCCTTTCCTCTGAAGTTTTTTGTTCATGATTTTGCTTATTTTTTTTAATGACTTGGGAAGCTAGTTCTTTTTTACTGGGATGCGAATTGCTTAGTTGAGTTTACAGAATATCTACTGAAACAGTTCTTGAGTTGGGGGCCTGTTTAAATAAAGATGAATATGTTGGACTCATAGCCTCAATATTTATTTTCTAAAGTTTCAGTTTACCTGCCAACTTCAAGTTTCTCTATTGTCCCCACACTCAAATATAGTTGATGATGTTTCATGAGGTAGCCAATGTTACTTCCCTGCTCAGTTTAGTCATTTGTAAAGCAGCAGTCTTTGGTTAGCTGATGTCTACTTTCCTTTTTTACAAATGTATCTGACTGTTCTGTTTCTCATTTGGTTTTGAAGATAGAAATAAGTTACTTTCATTGTAGTAATAAACTATAATGATTTTTCCCCACTTTCATCAAAAACTGTTAGTTTTTGCTTCTGTAGTTTGCATCTTTTTTCCAAGGACCCTTTCCTCCTTTTTCAGATTAAAATTACTATCTTTTATTTTCAGAATGTCTTAAAATACTGTTAAACCTGTAAACTTGATGTTAATACATATGAATTATCCTTCCTCAGAGTGAAGATACGCAACAGCAAATCATCAGGGAGACTTTCCATTTGGTATCTAAGCGAGATGAGAATGTTTGTAATTTCCTAGAAGGAGGATTGTAAGTACAGCAGTTCATGGGTTTTTCTAATTTCCAGTGTATGATGACAGTGTATATTGCTAGCCAATTTATGATGAAAATTCCTCATTATAATGAATTAAATTAGGCAATTTCATTGCTACCACTTGTAGGTATAAGTCTAATCTATTCACTTTTTAAAATATGCAATCTTTCTAAAAATTTTATAGTGTTATTTTATATAACAATATATTCATATAGTAGAATTCACTTATTATAGGGAAATGTACATTTTTAAATTACTTTTCCTCTCCCAGTCTTAGTTCTTTCCCCCAGTTTCTTGTCTATTCCTCTAGAAAGTACATATTATATTTACTGACATATAAAAATATAGCCTTAAAGTATTTACTTATGAGATCACATTTAATGTTTATTTGCATGTTGCTTTTTTTTGCTTAATATTTTGTAAAGTTTTATCTATAAGTCCATCTGGAGAAATGAAGCCTATCTAGTTAAGGTGTGTGCTGGCTGCTAGTCCTAATGACCTGAATTTGATCCCTAGGAGCCGTATAGTAGAAAGAGAGGACTTACTCCTACAAGTTATCATTTCTCTCTCCCTCCCCCACCCCACCCCTCTCTCTCTTCCTCTCCCTCTCTCACATTCTCTTTTTCCCTCTCACATTCTCTCTCTCTCTCTCTCTCTTTCTCTCTCTCTCTCTCTCTCTTTCACACACACACACACTCACAGATGTAATAAATTTTTAAAAAATATGGAATAGCATTCTTTATAATGGCTATTATATTCCTATGGTGAATACACGTAAAAATTCAGATCATGTCTTTTATTTTATTATAAACAGTGTCATTTTCAATTATATCTATGTATCTATGTAGCACTAGCATAGATTCAGCCAGTAGATGTTTCTATTTTTAAAATGAAAAAGGATATCTTGCTAAACTAAGTAAATATTATAAATGTCTTTTTCTTTTTCATTGTTTGCAACATTGGTAATCAAACCCAAGGCTTTCTGTATGCTAGGCAAGTGCTTTTCTATTGATATCCATCCCTAATTCTAAATAAATACTTTAAAATGGATTCTATTGAAAACAATTTACCTCTAAATATTTCTAGAAATACTTCCTCCCCAATTATATAATTAATGCACTTAATATTTTCTCATTGAGAATTAAAGCTAAGTATCAGCTAAGCCTCATGAGTGATAAGATGCATATTGTAAAAAGAAAATAATTGGGGCAACAGAACCCATTTTTGTCTGACCATACATTGTTTTTTAATCATGTGGAAAGTTTATTTGCATATCAGCAGCTACCTTGTTGTTTGCATTTAAAAAATATTATATCATGCTGCACTTAACATGTAATGCATATGTATGATTTGTAGATTTTGCTGTTAACCCCCTCCAGACTCTAATTTAATGGCTGAGGCAGCCACTTGTGTTTCTGTTAGGTCTCTGTAGGAATCTGGTTGTCTTTGCCATAGATATTGCTTCTCTCTCATCTTTGTATTTTATCTCACAGACTTCTTCACCTTGCATGGTGCATTGCATGAGGTAGACTGTGAGAACAAGACTGATACAAAAGGGCCCTGTTTGGATGGAAATTATACTATTATACTTTGAAATTGAGATTCTTTCCTAACCGTATTTTAAAAAATGGGAACCAACTACTGTGCCTATCTGTTCTTGTTATGGCTCTGAATCTGGCTAGCCAGTACACTGGGTCAGATTGTTCAAATTCTTGAAACTTCATTTTCTTCTCCAAAGATATTTAAGAAGGTATCAAAAATTACCAATTTCTGTTTGTAAATTTTACATACTGTATAACACCTCTGTACTGTCTAGTGTTAAGTTAGCTTGACAAAAACTAGAGTCCTCAAAGAGGAGGGAGCCTCAATTGAGAAAATGTCTCCATGAGATCCAGCTGTAAGGCATTTTCTTAGTGATTGATGGGGCAGGGGGACCCAGCCCATTGTGCATAGAGCCATCTCTGAGCTGGTGGTCCTGGGTTCTATAAGAAAGCAGGCTGAGCAAGCCAAGGACAGCAAGTCAGTAAACAGTGTCCCTCCGTGGCTTCTGCATCAGCTCCTGCCTTCTGGTTCCTGCCTTGAGTTCTTGTTCTGATTTTCTTCAATGATGGACTACTATGGAAGTGTAAACCACCTTAACCATTTCCTCACCAACTCGTGTTTTGGTCATGGTGTTCATCAAATAGAAACCCTAACAAAAACAGATTCATACATGAATTTGTATCAATATTAGACCAGTTTAAAATGAAACTGTATTTTCAAGGCCAACTGTATACTTGCCTTGCAGAGATCCTTAGTTTCTCTGAGCATTAATGGCTACTTTGTAACATATTTTTCAGAAGCATGGTCTTCTTTTAAGACTAAACCAAACCAAACCAAAAAAGCCTACAATGAAATTGCTGATATGCTCATTTTGCCCCTTCAGTAAGCAATTGTAATTATTGTCATAACCAATCTCAGAATATTTAAAGTGTACATAAACACTTTTAAATTAAACCCTGTATAGACAAGAGTAACCCAGCATAGTAGGAATCCTTCATTTTTATCATGCAAGGTCATTTCTGCTTTTGCTCTTACAGGACAAGCAAGTATATGTACTTAGAGAAGTAGTTTCTATGTGTTTGTGAGTTTAGTGTTATTTTTACGGAATAGGAAAAATGTCACATCCTATATTGTTGAGAATGTTCTCTTAGTTTTGGTTGTGTTTAGCCTGGTTTTAAATTATGTTAATGTTGAAGTAGTCTTGAGAAGGTGAATTTGCTTTTATTAACTTGACTATTATGTACCTAAGTATATTTGGAAAAACATAATGATGCTTCAGATGATTCCTAAATTATTTTTAAAATGCTAAATTCTAAATCAGTATGAATATATGAATAAAAGAATTTATGAAAATATTGAATATTCATTAGCATGTCATTCTTACATTTAGATTTAAGAAAAATGTTTTTGGAGAGCATCTTGATGCCACATTTATTTAAAGCTTAAAAATACTTTCTTTTTTTTCTAGCTGATAATCAGTCTTAAGCTGTGTGTTTTACTGTGACCTATGAAGTTATATCTTGTAAGCACTTGCACATGCCCTGTGATCTGGTTTCTGCCTGTTCCTTTAGTCTCATTGTTTACTAATCTCTTGTTGTCTCCTAGCCTCACATCTCATTGAAAGTGCATATTGTCTTGATGAAACAGACCTTTTCAGTCATTGCTATCTTAGCCCAAGGTGCTCCTGATCAGTCTGGATATTACTGTCTCTCAGTGTCCATTCTGAATTGGGAACTCCATGGATATGCTATCTTTGTTCTCTGTGTTGACACCCTCCCCTACCTGTTAACTTTCTTGACTCTTTACCTGCTATCAGTGCCTGACACACAGTACTTACTCAGTGAATACTTTAATGAGTAAACTAAAATTAAGCACTGGTTTCTTTTACTTGACATTTCTGAAGAAAATTGGTATCATAATTTACTTAGTTTTGTTTTTATAAAAGTTTTTAACAAATATGATTTTGTTTGAGCTAATGAAATGTTCTACATTTTGTTTCCTACACCATTTCAATTATTTTGTTTTGTCATTTAGATTAATTGGAGGATCTGACAACAAACTCATTTACAGACATTATGCAACATTATATTTTGTCTTCTGTGTGGATTCCTCAGAAAGTGAACTTGGCATTTTAGATCTAATTCAAGTAAGTTAACAGTTGCATCTTACTACTATTAATTAGTTTTTTTGATTCTGTTTTTATAAGCTTAAGATTAAAATTTTATAAAATGATATTTGTTTGATAGGAGCTGTTCTATTGTAGATATTTGGTGGGTATGCTGTGACATAGTACCACATAAATTAAGTTAGGGGAAAGATTTATTTTGGTTCACAGTTGTGGAAATTTCAGTCTGCCAGCTGATCCCATTGCATCTAAGTCCATTGCAAAGGAGTAGCATAGTGGAAAAAAGAGCTTGGTAGAGGAATGCTGCTGGCCCCATGGCAGGTGGGGAGCAAAGAGGACAAGGGGCAGGGACAAGATAAACATGTCAAAGACACCCCCAGTGACCCCTTCTTCCGACTATGTTCCACTTCTTAATAGCCTGTTTAGCTATGAACTTATAAGTAGATTAATTCACTTAGAGAGACAATCCCATCATGATCCAGTTCAAAGCTTGTCAAAGATTGTAAAAACTAAATTGATTAGGACTAATTAAAACTAATTTCATCATGCCTTCTCTGTTCATGAGAGTTACTGCAAGGAACCCAAGACTGTGAATCTCTCTGCATGTGTCTAAATCTGACCTAAAGACTTAACTCTCCTGAAAAGCTTTTGTAATATCTATAGAACTCATCAGTTATCAGAAAACTCTTATTTTGAATCTTACCTGTTAATGTTGCTTCAACACTTTAAATTTTGCTTCTTCTTCATCATTGCCTTCAACCTTCACAAGTAACAGTTTATGTGTGTACCTTTTGTGTTTACCTTTTCGTATCATTGAGCCTAGAGATGTTCTATTTGTTTCTTCCAGGATATTTTCTTTTAGAACATCTCCAGATTTTATCTCATGTTATCAGACTAGCCATCTTCCTACATGTTTAGTTGTATCCATCTCTGTCTATCTCCCATTTTGGAGCTTTTGTCAACAACTGTAGAGGGTTAGAGATTAAACTGTAGTTTAAAGGGTAATGGCAGAAGATGAGACAGGTTTCTTGCATTACTAATAACAGAAGCATTATCCACAAAACAAAACACCCCAAACCATGCTAACATTTGCTTGCATTAGTTCTCAGTTCTAGAAGGGTGCTGTGAAGGAGTCAGGTGATGCCCGCACCACAGTAGATCCGATCACACAGGGGACAGACCTCAGAGTTAGGGAGCTGAAATTCTTTATAATGGGTGAATCATGTCTGCTCTGAAAAGGATGGGGTGCTCTTTAAAAGAAAAGGTAAGCTTATCCTTTTCTCTTAAGGAAGACACTATTTTCCAAGGCTGTTTGTCAGTGTGACAGACTTGAAAAAATAGTCCAAGACACAGATAGCAACTGCCTCTGTTCCCAGGATTCTAGAAACCTAACGATCTGTAGACTTTTCAGAGTTGCTTCTTACTCAGTGACATTCAGTAGAAGACTGAATGTGTGATGGGCCATGGGGGACTTCAGTGTTCACATGTGTACTGTTCAGTAACCTCATGTCTTCAAACTTGGAACTACATTCCTTTAGAGCTTTGCCTTCTGGCCCAGCTTTCTGTCATGTCTCATTTTTATACAAAGTACTAGTCAGTCCATAATTTGTTTCAATTTCTTCTCTCAGCTGCCCTTTTATCTCTCTAATTTACTGTTTCTCTTATTCTAGGTCCCTCAGGTTTCAACATGTCATTTTTTCATTTTCCCTGATCCTACTGAGGTCTGGTTTGTCCTTGTTCAGCTTGGATTCCATGGGTAGTCATACAGTGTGCCTATGCACTTAACTCCTAGCCTGTTCTCATACATCTCAAAATATGTAGAAGAAAAGCACAGTCGTGTTTCCTGTCCACTTTGGATCCATGAGCATGGATCTCAGGAAGTCCTTAGTGCTGTCCACTGATTACAGTTCATCTCTGTGCTCCATCTCTAACTCTAGCATCACTTCTCTGCAGTCTAGCTAGACCTTACTTCTAGACCATCACAAGCAAAACTGAAACAGTCAGGAGAGAACATGGCAGGTTCCTGCTATCTACCTGCCTGTCTACTGTGTGTTGTATAAATGCTGCACTCACTGTGCTGCTAGCTGAGGAACTAGGCTGTTTGAGGTTAGCTTTCACTTCCTCCTGCTGCAGTACTCCTCACTTTATAGCGTTTGTATCCTCTTCTAAATCACCCCCTCAGACAGTACTGCACTCTACCACCTTCGCTCCCTTTCTACCTCTGTCTTAATTTCTTTCTCTCCATTAATATCAAAATATTTTGGTACTGAAGGAATATCTGAAACCGTTTTTGCTCTCTTGCATTATTGTTGAATGGCTGATTTTAAGGCCCAATTTCCTGCTGGACGTCTCTGCTTGGGTATTACATGAAGATCTCACACTGAGGTAGATCTAAAATTTGTATTTCCTGCAGTTTTTGTCTTATCATTCTAACAGCTGAACTCTTCAAGTGGATGAGTCAGAACCTGAGTACTTGCTTGTTCTTGGGTCTTACTCTTTGTGTTCTTCTGCTCCATCTTAAGCAAATCCTTTGCCTGACCTCTTATTTCTTCACTTTGGTCCAAGCTACCAACTTTGTCTGTATTCTGGCAGTTTCCTGACTGGTCTGTCTCTACTGTTTTGGGTCTTTATTTGATGCACCAGTCAAATGCCGTTGTAACATGCTGCATCTCATATCTTTTGTTCTAGACTCTTCATAACTCAGCTTTTATTGGAGTAAAAGCCTTATTTGTCATAGGCTACCCAGGAACCTATGTATTCTGACCCCCTCCTGTTGTTTGTCTTCTGTCTCCTCATGTGCTTTGCCTCTTGTTGATGCTGCAGGCATTTGCCTACTTCAGACTTTGTACTTGCTGACTTTTATACCTCGGATGTTCTTTCACTTGGCAGGCTCCATTTCATTCTTCCAGATTTTGACTAGAAACTACCTTTTCAATACAGAATTCTCTAGCCATGTTTTCTAAAAATCCCCTCTACATTTCTAACCATTGATCTGCTATATTTTCCCTTTCCTTAGCACCTGTTATCATTTTATATGATGCTTTATTATCATTTACTGCTAATAGAATAAAAGCTCCATGAGAGTCTAGAGTTATTTATTGACTTATCTATCATAACTATATATTGCATTGCATTATTGCTGATTTATCTCATACAAGGAATAGTAGGTCTTCAACAAATAATTGTTTGATACATGAAAAAATGAACAAATTTAATGCTCATATACTGTATTTAGTATAAAATAACTGACAATAAAGCCAAAAAGTTAGTTAGAATAGTTATGGAAAGTGTAGTTGTCACTACATGCTATTGACATTTCCTTATCTGAGTTCTTGATTTGCTAATTATGAGAAGCATTAAGTCATATATATGTATATAAAATATGTGATTTTTATATTTTCATCTTACATGCCATACCTTCTCTAAAAGCTAAAGAGAAAAAGAAGAAAAAGAAAAGTAAATTGCATTCACAATTGTAGTTGTAGGCCAGGGAACAGGTAAAAGCACTTGCCTTGCAAGCCAGCTAACTTGAGTTTAATCTGAGAACAAAATCCACATGGTAGAAAGAACCAACTCCATAAAGTTGTCCTGTAACCTCCACACGTGTAGCTGTGTGTGGTGTGTGTATAAACAATAATAAATAAAATTTAAAAAATAATTATTACAAATAATTTGTATTGGATCAAGATTATCAAGAAGAAGTACACAGAATTTTTTTCCTTTCTGAATAGTACACAAATAGAGATGTGGCATCATTAAGTTGTAAGCTGGGAAACGCTGCATGTAAAAGGATTTGTCAGATGAGGTATGGTTTTAAATCTGCAGGAAGGAAGCATCCTTTGATTTTAAGTGAGAAATTACTAAGTAGAAAGCGTAATAATAAATTCTGAGTGACCAAGCTTAGAAATATAAATGGCAAGACTAAATAAAGCTTTTGGTATTGCTTTTGTTAGTAAAATAAAAACAGTAAGTGCCAGTGGAGCTGTTAGTATACCACTTTACTCTTAAACTTTTAATGCTGGTTTTCTTCTCTCTGTGTTTTTTTTTTCCTTTTTTTTCTTTTCTTTCTTTCTTTCTTTTTTTTTTTTTTTAAAGAAAGGATCTTATGTAGTCCTGGCTGGCCTCATACTTATTATTCAAGGTCAGGTTAGCCTTGAACTCAGAGATCCGGCTGCCTCTGCCTCATGAGTGCTGGGGTTAAAGGTGTGTGCTATCACACTTGGAAAATAATTCTTTTTGTTTGTTTTAAGATGTATTTTAATTTTATGTATATGTCTGTGCATGAGAGTCCTCAAGGAAGCCAAAAGAGTCAACACTCTTGCTCACCAGAGGCAGCTGTGGGTACCCAGTGAGGATTCTGAGAACTGAACTTGGGGCTTCTGAAAGGATTTTAGGTGTTCTTCACCTCTGTTCTATCTCTTCAGCTTCCATATCTATAATTTCTTACACTGGTTTTTGAGTACTGAGCAGGTATCAGTTACATGAAGCCACAGAGTGATCATGATAAACATTTGTTGTGTGTCTGTCTCTCTCTTTTTCCCGCCATTGCTTTCATCCTAAATTATTGGTGGTGGTGGTGGTGGTGGTGGTGGAAAAATGATAATTTTAAGATAAACATATAGGATAAAGTTGATTTAAAATAATATTTAAAACTCTAAGCAGAGACTTCAAAGAAATTTTGAGCTTACAGTAACTATGATTCCAGATCCTCAGCTATTTGTCTTTTTACCTCTCACGACCACTTGAGTCAATGTTTTGTTTCTCTGTATACTTTCCCAGTAAAGAAAGAGATGACAGGTCTCGGTTTTATATGACTTGGTAACAGAGAGGGAATGTCAGAATTGTATTTTACCTTGCCTTCTAACAGTTCATTATTACACTTACTAATTTATTTGATATATAATTACAGTTTTACTCTAAAACTACATTTCTATAGAAAATAATTTTCTGTGGTTTCTGTTTCTCTGTTGGCTATTCTTGGCTGAAGAGAGTGGTAGACATATGCTACATTTAAACTTTTT